TATTATGCTTGTTTTTTTGTTTTGATTAATAAGCTGTCTACAAATTATTTTCCCCTTTTAATAATTGTTCTCCAATTCTTCCTTTTTACCTCTGATGATGTTTGGTTGGCCACTTTCTGTCTTGTTCTGTAATGAAATACCCAAACTTGGAAAGGATATTGATTTGAATGGAATGATATTAAAATTAAAGTAGAGAGAGAAAAATATTTAAATTATTATTTTCTTTTTCTCCCTGAATGGTTTACGCGGTGGAGCCCTGTGTTTTGAGCTAACTAAACACAGGGCTCGAATCCAATACCTCAAGGTAGGTGATATCCACAAGATCTGGCCACTGCAGTAATCTTAAAAAGATAAAAATAGTTAAATGACCAACTGAACTAAAAAAGTTTAAACTCATTGATTAAGGTTAACTAGAATAAATTTATTATTTTTTTACTTATACTTTAACAAAGATAGAAAAGGAGAGAACTTTGCTGGATTACTCAAAACTTTTTCCATATAAAACCCCACAATAACCTTACATGATTGATCCAGTGATTGACTCTCCCATTTCTCTTCACTATACTCTTCTTCCCCTTTCTCACTCTTTTTCTTAATCCACACATTTAACAAAAAATAAAAAAAATTATATATATAAATTTTTTTCCTTTTTCTTTTACTCAATAAACCTAATCCCCTTTTAACAACTTCTCTCTATAGCTTTTCACTTTTCATGTGAAATCATTTTATTTTCATTAGGTTTCATGTCCTAAAAGTCCAACTCTATATGCAATGACTTTGAGGTAAAATGATAATTAGTATCCAAACTTCATCCATGTAGAATAATACTTTTAGATTTTTATCGGGTCAACACTCATATCTTTGTATTAATTAACTATGAATAAAGATTTGACAGTTTTAAAAACCAGATCTCATATTTGTAAAAAATTTAACGATGGTCAGCAAACGATGAGTACTGACTGAGAAGCATAGGAGTATATACACCGTGAATTATTCTCTCTCTTGGGTATTATTGGATTTTTTTTCCCTCTCTCTCTTCAATTAAATATTTAGTGAGAATTATATATATTCTGAAGAAAAAATTTAAAGGGAATGTAGTAGTGAAAGTGAATGAAGGCTAACCCCACCAAGAGGGAAGGGGATTGCAGGCCCTCCTCTTCTTTCCTTTTCTCAACTTTCTTTATTCCAAACCTAAATCTAAAGGCAAATGGGACTCCAAATTCTCCATTTTAGCCTCCCCATTTGCCACACTTGGCAAAAGTTGGGCTCAAATTTCACCTTTTACTAATGGGTAGAGTTGTCTTTTCACCCTCAAGTCAAATTCAAAGGGTTTTTTTTTTCTTTCTCTCTCTTCTAATTGCATGCATGGCCTAAACATGGCAAGAAGCATGCAAATTAGAGAGAGATTGCAATGTGAAGAGAGATTTTGAAAGGATTGTGTGTTGGGTTTGCTAAAGGGGACCCATTTTGGTAATTCTTGTATTGGTTGCCCTTGAAATTTAAATATCCTCAAGAATCCTATGTATTCATTTGTAGGACTTTTTAAGGGGATATTCCCAATCTCTCCTCTTTTGTTTTGATAAGGGTGAGATTTATTATTCTTCATTTTTTTCACCTTTAATGGACATATGTATGAAAAATAAAGGTCCCAACCTATGCACGTAACTTCCCTTATGAGAAAAAAAGACCCTTTCAAAAAAAAAAGAAAAAAAGAAAAAAAAAGATATTCTCCCTTCAAGGAAAAAAAAAGAAAGAAAAAAAAACCCACTTGGTTAAATATGTGTGTTTGGTTATAGTAAAAATGCTATCCTAGGCTGGAATTGGGAATGACTCCAACCCGTGTTAGTGTTTATTAGGATAGATGTAAAGGGTAATAACAATTATAGGTGTTTATTGGTCAATATCCATTTTTTTTGTTGACCACTATTACATTTTTATAAGTGAAAGAGAGAAATGTAGAAAAAGAGATATTTTTTCTAATTTTGGACTGAAAAGTTTTTATTGATAGTTAGCATAAAGATGATGAGTACTGACCGGTAAGCATTCCAAAATAATTTTCTAACTTTTACTTTCAAAGATGTTTTCATGAATTAGATTATTTTGCATTTGAAACCGTCATTATTTCGAAATGAAAGAATATATAAATCCATTATTTTCGAATTAAATATTTCATTTAAAATTACTATTCACAATTCTATACATTTTGAAAGAATGAAATTTGCCTAATTATCCATAAGCAAAAGTTTTTTTAATACAACATGTGGAGATGTGACATCAAACTCACAATCTCTTAGTTGGAGATAATGTTAATTACCGGTGATCTATACTCTATTTGATGATAAGCAAAAATTACTACTTACTTTTGACCTAATTTATTTTTTTTAAGGTTCAAAAATATTAACCTCGTCTACTCATTTTCATTAGTAAAGTTTTTCACTTTCACTTTCATTTTGGCCAAGGGTGACGATGAAATAATTAATATCTTAACCAATTTTTATCCAGGTAAAATTTATTTATGGGAAAAGACAACCCTTTGGTCCAAATTATTATTGGTAAGCAATAAATAAGAATAGGAAATAAAAATAGAAATATTTACAAAACCAACACTAGATTCTCTGCCACACTCTTGTAACAGTTACCTTTTGAGAGGGAGAGAGAGAAAATGGTAATTTTTTACTTTTTACAGTTACTGATTTGCAAAATACCACTCTTTTTTTCTTTTTTTAAATGTTAAAACAATTATTTTTGTAATAATAATAATAAAATTTTTTTTTTTCATGAGAGAGACTTATTTATGGATGAGAAAGAAATACACGGTGCGGGCCACGCCTTATTCACGGGTTCTCCTWTTACCAGATTCTGCCATCTAAGTTTTTCCCATTTCTATTTTTAACCCATATTTTAAACCCTATTCTACAATTTCCCACTCATGTTTATTTTTTTAGACACGTTTGGTAATGTTCTCGTTTCTCATTTTCAATTTTTGAGAAATATGAGTGTTATGAAGATAAAAAAATAGATTACCACGTATTGAACAACTGAATGAAGTACGCCGACCTGGTGAGGTCAGCAAAGCCTGAGGGATGAGCCAGGTCAACCTCACCTTACTGTTACCGTCATATGCACACAGGATTGGACGTAGTCAGCACTAGTCACCGATCTGGCCATCAAGATCTACGGAGAAAGTCTCGACCTGAACAATTAACTAATTCAACATCGTTCACTATGAAAGGTATTTGGTATCCCTTACTAAATGTATGATCGAATTCCTTCTAAAATATCCTACGTTCATTCTGCCACCAATACTGAATTAAGCATCGTAGTGCTTACTTTTGTCTTGTAGGTCACTTAACTCATCAATCACCAAAACATAAATAAAAGCATCATTTTTATCATTTTTTACCTATAAAATGAATGATAAATATTGAAAATAAATATTAGATAAAAATTTGAATATTTAATCTAAAAATTAATTTTTTAATATAAAACTAAGAAAATAAGAAGCAAGAAAGGGTTACCAAACATGTTTTTGTTTCTTTTTTTTTAATGAAAAAAAAGAGAGAAAGAATAAGAAAAAATGATCACACATAGTCCTGTTTCTATTTATTAGAAAGGAAGGAGAAAAAACATGAAACATAATAGAGAAATAAGAAACAAGAAATTGAAACTTTACTAAAGAGAGTGCTTATTACTTTTGCACAATTTTCCTACATACTTTYGGGCTAAATATATATTTTAGTGCTTTTTTTTTCTTTTTTCAATTTAGTCTTACACTATTGATAAATATTAAAATGGACTGATGATAAATTAGATGACATATAATACTGAGTGAATTAGACGTAAATACAGAGGAGGAAAAAGGTCATCTAAAAGACGAAGTTTCTAATTTATCTTCCAAATGTATTAAGAAATTTAGTAGAAATTTTGAGTTTTTTTTTTTTTCTTTCATGACTTCTTTTCCTTCTAAATTTCAAAAAAATTTACCAAGTATTATCAAGTTTATAATCAACTCATTTCAACATTAACCAACAGAGAAAGATTAAATTGAAAAATATTAAAATATAAGAAATTAAGTTGAAAAAAAACTCTAATTAAAATATTTGAGAGTCAATCATACACTTTATCATTTTCTTCTGTTCTCAATTTTCTTAATTTGTGTAATTTATGCTCAATACCCAAAGAATGGACTTGTAGTCAATTTGTATAGGCGAAGCTAAAAATTCTTCCAAGAGGGAAAAAAATCCTTAAATTAGTATCCCCGTCAAAAAATAAAAATAATTATGATTAGTGCACTTTTATTTTATGTGATAATTGTTGATTATGTAAATAAATGATTGACCTAAATTATGGATTAATTACAATCACAACATTTTTTTTTTGAGACAAAATTACAAACACAACAATTATTGATTAACTTAAACATATATAGATTGGTTTTCTCATAGTAATAATTGACTAATGCGCGTTTTAAAAGATTTTTTTTTTGCGCAATTATTTTTCAGCTGCTACTTTTCAGATATTTTTATTTTTTTTTTTTATATAAGAAGTGAGGTGGAGGATTTGAACTTATGACGTCTTAATCCGAAACATCCATCAATTACTTCTTAACTAAGTGCACGTTGGTAATTAAAATTAGATTGGTAACTATTTTTTTTTTAACTATGCATTAATTTGGTAACATAATATAGAAAAATGGTTTTGAAAATCTACTTTTATGTTATTATTTAATTATACCAATTCTCATGAATGTGGTTCTTCTTTCTACCTAAAAGTACTTATTTTTACTACAATTTAAAAATCATTGTAAAAAATTAAAAAAAGATAAATGTTGCAAATTTGAGCCTAACGTAGCGGATAAGATA